GTTGAGGGGTTTAGGGGTTTAGGGTTTAGGGTTTAGGGGTGTGGTTGTAATGTGCGGCATTTTACAAAGGTCGGAAATTTGGGTTGGAGCGCAGGTTGCTGACTTGCAACAGCTCATGAAAGCCAGAGCCCGAAACCCCAAACCCCAAACCCCAAACCCCAAACCCCAAACCCCAAACCCCAAACCCCAAACCCCAAACCCTAAACCCTAAACCCTAAACCCTAAACCCTAAACCCTAAACCCTAAACCCTAAACCCTAACCCCTAAACCCTAAACCCTAAACCCTAAACCCTAAACCCCAAACCCCTAAACCCCTCACCCCTGCACCTTCAAGTAAAGTGACACTCACGACAGCCTGAGACTTGCCCCGTAGACCTGGGCATCAGCACGGGTTAGAAAAACCCAAAACTTTGTCATAGTTGGGTAACATTTTGCATTTCAAGGGTACTTAAACCCAATAAGGAATAGAAATTGAGTTTTTTTAGACTATCCCAACCATGAACTAGAAAAGTCCAAAATCACCCTACACCACCCGTCTGGGAATTCCTAGGAGGACAACCCAACTTCCTCATCTCCCTTCTACGCGCTTGAAGGTTGCGGTAAGCTACTATTTGCTTCAGAAGCCCCCAAAAGGTAAGAAGCTCATCCCCAAATTGCCCTTTTCAGGAGGATCTTTTTTTGTTGCTCTTTTTTTGCGGGAGGGTTCTTAAGCAAACAGTAACACTAAGGCCTAAACCCGAAACCCTAAACCCTGAACCCTAAACCCTAAACCCTAAACCCTGAACCCTAAACCCTGAACCCTGAACCCTAAACCCTAAACCCTAAACCCGAAACCCTAAACCCTAAACCCTAAACCCAGACTCAGAGATGCTGCTGCCCTGGAAGGCATCGCCCACAGGTGCTGCAAGCTCCTCGGGGAGTGGAGGCGCCCCACTTGGGGAGGGTAGGGTTTAGGGTTTAGGGTTTAGGGTTTAGGGTTTAGGGTTTAGGGTTTAGGGTTTAGGGTTTAGGGTTTAGGGTTTAGGGTTTAGGGTTTGGGGTTTGGGGTTTAGGGTTTGGGGTCTTTTGTGGCCGCTGCAGGTTAGTGTTCCGGCCTTACCGTCTTGTCAGGGGCAAAACTCCGGGCGAAGTATCAAGCCTGTTCCAAAAAAAAATTGTGTTAGGGTTTCAGAGATTGTTTCCACGGAGTTCCTGTAGAAGGCGGCTGAAATGGTTGTGTAGCCACGAGTGCTGGCGTGAGGGTTTCGGGAACTTTCCTCCCGCAGGCGCAGGGCTGCAGGAGGCGTCCCCAAGCAGGCCTGGCCCACAGTGTCAACACTCGGTTCCCCTGCGCGCCACAGCAGAAACTCCTTAACCCCAAAGTAGTACCCCTATTCAGGACTGTTACTGTTAGTATAAGGGGGAACATCCCAAACCTGACCCCCCAAAACCCCAATGCCTGAAAGCCGTAGACCCTCCCCAAAATCTTAAACCACCCAAAGCCCCACCGAAGCCTTCAATTGAAGTAGGCCCTAAACACCAAACCCTCCAGCGTAGCTGACGCCGGCATGCTGCTTGGGTGTCAGCTGTTCAGGTGGCAAACCCTAAACCCTCAGCCCCAAACCCATGTGTTGTGGTATATGCCAAGAAGACTACCGGAGCCTTGCCTGCGCTGCGTTAGTGTGAGAGTCGAAACCCCCTAAACCTTAAAACCCTGAAACCCTGAAACCCTGAAACCCTGAAACCCTGAAACCCTGAAATCCTGAAACCCTGAAACCCTCAAACCCTGAAACCCTGAAACCCTGAACCCTGAAACCCTAAACCCCTCAACCCCAACCCGGAAAGCGCAGGAAGTGGGAAGAGCCCCCGGTTGTGGAGCTGCCCAGCAAGCCGCGGGAAACACTGCTGCAGGACTCATGGGCCCAAAGCCCAAAAAGGCGGTTTAGGGTTTAGGGTTTAGGGTTTAGGGTTTAGGGTTTAGGGTTTAGGGTTTAGGGTTTAGGAGGTGCTGAACCGTGGAGCAGACGGAATTTCGGGGTCGGAATAATTGCTAGTGGTATTCCTTTATGGTCCCTTCATGATTATGCTAGAATAACTCCCTCCCCCAAAACCCTATTCTAGCTATTAAGGGATAATCTTTCTTTCTCCATGTCTGTTCCAATTGTTAAGGCCCCTACCTAAACCCTAAACCCTAAACCCTAAAGCCTAAACCCTAAACCCTAAACCCCAAGCCCCAAGCCCTAAACGCTAAACCTGAACCCTATTTCGTCTGCTTGGGGTTGTCCTGTGCTGTTCGAGCGTGTTCAGCATGTGTGCCCTAAACCCTAAACCCTAAACCCTAAACCCTAAACCCTAAACCCTAACCCTAAACCCTAAACCCTAAACCCTAAACCCTAAACCCTAAACCCAGAAAGCTGAGCAGCCGAAGCCCTGATGGCACCAAACCCGGCCCTGGTCACCTAGGAGGGTTTAGGGTTTAGGGTTTTAGGGTTTTAGGGTTTTGGGGTTTTAGGGTTTTAGGGTTTTAGGGTTTTAGGTTTTTAGGGTTTTAGGGTTTTGGGGTTTTCGGGTTTTAGGGTTTTAGGGTTTTAGGGTTGGCGGCCGCCGAGACCGCACAAAAGCCCAGGTCCTGACTCACCGCAAACGCACCATTAATGTACGATTTACGAAGCCTTCACTCGGACCCTTTCCTCACCTACAAGGCACTTGCCCCAAAACCCTTGCTTACGGGGATCCGAAGTCTGCGCCCTTATTGTATGTAGTGTAATTATAATACGGGTTATATAGCAAGGGACCCGAAATTAAGGGACCAGACTAGGAACCGAAGACCAAACCCCAAGGCCCCAAACCCTGAGCTTGAAGGAGGGACCCTTACAAGGGTTTAGGGTTTAGGGTTTAGGGTTTAGGGTTTAGGGTGAGTTATTTGGGGGTATTTAGGGGGCTACTTAGGCAAAAAGGGATTGTATAAGGTTTTTATAGGGGTTATATAGGTGAACAAGATGAAGGCTCCCTTCTCAGGGTTCCTCCTTGTACCCTAAACCCTAAACCCTAAACCCTAAACCCTAAACCCTAAACCCTAAACCCTAAACCCTAAACCCTAAACCCTAAACCCTAAACCCTAAACCCTAAAGAAAAAGCCGTTCAAACCCTGAACCCTGGGGTCCCTCCTTCTACTCCTGACTTATTGACCCCGCAGCCCAGCACCAGGAGCTTAGAGGTTTGCTCCACTTCCTGTGGGCATCGTGGCTGCCTTTTCCCCTAAACCCTCAACTCTAATCCACTAGCCCTAAACCCTAGACCCTAAACCCCAAACCCTAAGTGAAACCCCGAACCCTAAACCCTAAACCCATGCTTGTCTCTAAAGTTCGAGCTGCCGGGGCTGTAGTCGATGTGGGGCAAGGGGTGTCAAGACCCCGGGTTTGGGGTGGATTTCGTTCTTTGTTTTTGGGCGGGCAGGGGGGTTTAGGGTATAGGGTTGGGGCCTTCGGGTTAAGGTTTCGGGTTCAGAAGGGACTTAGGGTTTAGGGCTTAGGGTTGCGAAGGGGCTTGACCCAAACCCCTCAGGCCCACGACGGCGCAACAGACCGATCCTTTTTCGACCGGAGCGACAGCGAAATCTTGGCAGGAGGACCCGAATGCGGATGGTTTAGTTTAGGGTTTAAGGGTTAAGGGTTAAGGGTTTAGGGTTTAGGGTTTAGGGTTTAGGCTGTCAGCAAGTCTAGCTTCAAGGAAGGGTTGGGGGTTTGGTTTAGGCTTTGGGGCGTTGGAGGTTTAGGGCTTAGGGTTAGGGTTTATTGTAGGAATTTCGCGCGCCCCTCATTTGCTACAGCTTTCTAGCACCAGTCGTAACCTGTAAGGCATCCATGTGGGCTGCTATAACGTTTCACTACTGTTTGGGTTCTATAGCGTTTCACTACTGTTTCACGGGTGCATGAAAGCTAAAGGTGTGTAAGGAAGTGAAACATCAGGCAAAGTAAATTGAAAGCACCACGTCGTTCTACCACTGGTTGGATCTCTGGCTTGGACTGTAGCCACAAACACTTCGGAATCTGTCGCTTATTATCTGGATTCATCCTCAACCCTCCAGAAAATGAATATCAGTCCTTATCGGAATACACGTATGTTCCGCAGGAAATCATACCTCCAGCAAGCCAGAACTTTGTGTAGCATAAGCGTTGCCTTGCGTGGCTTTCTTATGTCTTTTTAATGACTGCCTGGCTTGTTTCGAGGGGTTGGGACTTCTCCTGCACTAAGCCCAAAGCCCTAGAAACCCTATAAATTCTGAAAACCCCATGAGCCCAAAGGCCCTAACCCTAAACCCTAAACCCTAAACCCTAAACCCTAAACCCTAAACCCTAAACCCTAAACCCTAAACCCCTAAACCCCTAAACCCCTAAACCCCTAAACCCTAAACCCCTAAACCCTAAGCGCTATACACCCTCGAAGCCCTGAGCCGTAGGAGCAGGGGGGGGGGGGAAAGGGAGGGGAAGAGGGGATCCTGTTTGCGAAACGGGCTCAAGGGTTTTCTGGGGTGTAGGGCTTTTGGGGGTTTGAGGGTCTTTCCGTTGTTTTGGGGTCCGCCTCCCCAGGACGATTTTGACGCGCCTGTGTCTCTACGGGGTTTCCCGAAAAGAGGGTTTTAGGACCAAATGTCCAAGTTCAGGTAGTCTTGAGTTAGGTTGCCGAGCATCTGCATCCTTTTCGGCTTCAATATTTCAACTTCGTCCTTAATCAGGCCCTACGCACAAAGACCCGATGCTTCAGCATTCGGGAACCCCCCCCCTAGCTTCTCACCAAGCTGGCTCGGCTCCATTCGTTCCCAACCCTAAGGCCCTGAGGACCGAGCTGAAGGCTCCTAGAGTTCGGGGGCGTCACGATGACATGTTCGTTTTGATTTTTTCAAACCAATGGCTCCCAATGGTGAGTTGATGCGGTCGTCGCATCTGGGGTGTAGTGCAATAAGGGCCCTTCCCGCGCATGGCAGTGGATTTCGGTCTGGCTGCTCACTGATTGTCGTCGCAATGGTGCCGTCAATCTCAGGCACCTGGTCTTTGGACCATGCGAATCCCTGGTCATGTGCCAGCAGCAGCCGCTGGAAACTTGTACAGGCGCGTGGTATAGGCCACGGTTTCAAGGCCGGTCGTGAAGTTTCACCTCAACCCCTAGGAGCACCTCGAGCCGGGCCGCCCTCTGATCATGCAAGGCACGGTTCATGAACGCAAGAGCACTCTCCTCCAGCAGAGCATTCCATGCTGGCGACGCTTTGGCCCCTTCGCCTACCACGGCATCTACTTCCATGGTGCAGCTAACATTCGGCCATGCGTGATTTTCGAAAGTTGGAGACAAGCTGCTTGTCTCCCACTTTCGAAAATCACGCATGGCCCAATGTTAAGCCAGCTGCTCGTGAACGATTGGTGGTAAGGGATTGCTGCACCTGCCCATTGCCTCAATTGCCTCAAAGCCCATGATCGTGCTGGTTGACCAAGTTGAAGATCTCCTGCTGCGTTACCCTACTGAAGCCGTTGACTGGCCCAAGAGTTGGCAAATAGGTGCACTGAGGGATTGATCCAAGTGATTCTTGTTTGCAACTCTGCTGCCTGTTCTTTGACATTGCTCAGCTTGAAAGGCCACTTTGAAGCCATCAGCTGGTGACAGCACTGATGGTGTGGACCGGACGATGTTCGAGAAGTGCAAGCAGAACATCGGACTGTACAAGCGGGTGAAGCTTGCGATCCAGGGGCAAGAGATCACTGATGGGCAGGTCGATGACTATGTCAAGCGTCAGTTTGACCGATGGGCATTGGACTTTGAATTGCCGTACCCCTTGGACGACTCTGACATAGCGAAGGATGCCAAGTTGCACTATGTGGCCCAAGCGTAGAAACTCAAAGAGCAGCTGGCGGATGTGCTGCAGCAAGCGCTGCGCATGATGTAGAAGGATGGCATGCATGTCTTCACCGAAAAGCAGGTTGAGTCGGTAATGGGACTTGTCAGAAAGACATGGAAGGATCTCGGCACAAAAGAAATTCTAGACGCACCCGAGGTCGGGGTTGAGAAGCCCGTCGCAGAGGCCCTAGGCAGCGAGATCAAGCGCATCATTTGCTCACCTGTTCCGAGAAGCTGAGGATGGCTGGGCCCGGGCTTCCCCTAAGCAATCTCGGCGTGCCAGTAGTAGCTATTTCAAAGCCTCAACCAACGCATCGAGTTCACACTGTTCCTGCAGCACGGGGTTTTCTTCCAGACGTGGTTTTTCCCTGTGCTCGCTGTAATCTTTGGAGATTTCAGACTAGTTTCTTCTGGAGAAGCTGAGGATGCGACTCTCGATATGAAAGAAGACTTTGGCTTCAGCAGGTTTGCCTGTGGGACGTAATGTGAAGTTCTTTAGTAACCCTGTTCGGGGGATGTTCGGGGTACTTGTGAACTTGAGCCTCGGTAGGGTGTAGGGGTTTAGGGGTGCATATAGGGGTTTAGGGTTTGGGGTTTGGGGTTTTGGGGTACGTTGTAGGAGTCTGCCCAAGCCCTGAAGCCATAGCCTTTGAACCCAAACCCTAAGCCATTTTTGGGAGGGCCCGGAGCTGCCCAGCAACGGAACCCTACAGACCCTCCATACCGGCCGGATGAGCCCTAATTCTGAGCCCTGAACCCTTTAAGCCCCAAACCGGCTACCTGGGCAGTTCTGCTATGTCCTAATCCACATCCGCCCGTTCTTTGGATGAGATGCCACGGGTAAAGTCAGAAACCCTAAACGGCCCGAGGAGCAACGGAGTTGAACATCGACTTCGACATCTTCTTCGACTTCGATCGTGCGCAGTGACCCGGGCGCAAGTTTTGGGTTTAGGTTTTCGGGTTTACAGTAGGGTTTACGGCTTAAGCGCGTGGTTCAGCACGAGCTGAAAAAAACCCTGCCCAATCAGTTGTTCGAGTCTTGATTTTCGTTGCTTGTGAAGTAATTAGTGAAGGCTCCTTACACTTATTTTTGTTTGCCAGCTAGTTCAACACATCATATAACGGCAGCTCTTACAATGACCTCAGGCATGAAGCGTGTTCGCGAGGCAACGTAAGGGAGGCGGTCAAACGCCGAGCCCTAAAACCCTAAATCGTAGATTTCCCAAAGGGACCCCAAACCCTAATCCAAAGCCCCCCGCATCATGTGTAAAGTTCGTCACATCCTGGAGCGTTGCCTCCGACGTGCAAGAGTGGGAGCCGAATCCCCAAAAGCCCGGGTTTAGGGTTACCCAAAACCCTAAACCCTAAACCCTAAACCCTAAACCCTAAACCCCCCTAGGGTTGAGGGTTTAGGGTTCAGGGTTTAGGGCAAAAGGGACCTTCAAGCCTGACACCCAGCGGCGCTCAACCAAAAAAGCCGTGGCTAAGCCTAAGCCCTAAGCCCTAAACCCTAAACCCTAAACCCTAAACCCTAAACCCTAAAACCCTAAAACCCTAAAACCCTAAAACCCTAAAAGCCTAAAACCCTAAAACCCTAAAACCCTAAAACCCTAAAACCCTAAACCCTAACCCCGTCTGGGATCCCCAGACGCCAGGCCGGCCACGCACGTCGTCCACGGCAAGGCTTGCGCGCCCTGGAGCCACTTCGTCAGGAGGATGCTGGTTTAGGGTTTGGGGTTTAGGGTTTAGGGTTTACGGTTAGGGTTTAGTGTTTAGGGTTTAGGGTTCAGTTGCTGCCCAGGGCTTAATTAGGGCACGGCGTCGTGTGGGATCTTTCTGCCAAGCCCGTATCACAGGCAACTTTGCTCACTTCTGGTAGCTGCAAGCGGTCGTCCTTTCGAGGGGACAGCCTGCGATGATCTCACGACCCCGGACCCCAAACCCAAAACCCACAAAGATCTGAGGGTTTGAGGGGCCCCCATCCCTGACATCCGCGGTCTCCGACTCAAATCAAAGCCCAAATTCCCTCCAAACCCCAAAAGCCCCAAAAGCATACAAATCCCACCCCCCCAACATTTAACCCCCCAAAGCCCCAAGACCCTGCCACCCTACACCCTACACCCTACACCCTAAACCCTAAACCCTAAACCCTAAACCCTAAACCCTAAACCCTAAAACCCCAGACCCCAAACCCCAAACCCTAAACACTAAACCCTGAACCCTAAACCCGAAGCGCCTGCAGTTGAGGCGACGTGACCAGCACCTGGCTCCGTTTGGAGCTCAAGGCCCGGATCTCCAAGCGTTGATCTCTTTCGGTTGGGTTTAGGGTTTAGGGTTTAGGGTTTAGGGTTTAGGGTTTAGGGTTTAGGGTTTAGGGTTTAGGTTTAGGGTTTAGGGTTTAGGGTTTAGGGTTTAGGGTTTAGGAGTTAGGGTTTAGGGTTTTTAGGGTTTATAGGTTTAGGGTTCAGGGTTTAGGGTTTAGGGTTTAGGAGTTAGGGTTTAGGGTTGAGGGTTGAGGGTTTAGGGTTTAGGGTTTTTAGGGTTTAGGGTTCAGGGGTTCAGGGGTCCAGGGGTCAGGAGTTCACGAGTCCTTATGACTCCAAGTATAAGTGTACCTTCTAAGGGCTTATAAGTACACAGTTTTGATTGGCGTCATAAGCCTGAACCTACAGGTGTTTGCTGGAGGAAGACAGAGAGAGAGAGAGAGAGAGAGAGAGAGAGAAATGGCTTTGTAGGTCAGAAGATGGAAGGTTTCTGGACCTGCTTGAGTTGGCTTGGGCTGACGGGGGGGGGGGGGGGGGGGTTGCTCCGATCTTCGAAGTGGGTTAGTCGTTTGGGTTGAGGTTTGAGGGCTGAGGGTTTAGTGGGGTGGAGGGTTTAGGGTTTAGGGTTTAGGGTTGAGGGTTGAGGGTTTAGGGTCTAAAGTTCGTGGTTGAGGGAGTTTTGAAACATCGGGGAGGCCCCTGCAGAGCCCTTTCAATCCAACCAAGTGTCGAAATCGAACGTTCGGGGACAGTGCTCAGGCGGCTTTCCTTGCAGAAGCTCCTTTTGAATACCATGGCCTGAAAGAGTCCCAAGTCGCGGCTTGTAACGTCTTCTCTTTCGTGTCGCGTGAACCCGGACCTCAACTTTGCCAGGGCATGGACGAGTTTGACAAGCAGGAAAGCAGAAGTGGTGGAGGCTCCCAACCGCCTGCAGACTTTTGTTGCGATCTTGCTGGGAGTCTCACCAGCTTTGCTTCACTTGCAAGAGAAGCCGTCAGTGCTGCCTGCGTGTTCATGTTGAAGCTTCCAGCGCAGCAAGAAGGCCCCCGTGACTCCAGGCTTTTCGTGCCCAAGAGAAGCAGTCGCGCCCCTCCCATCATCCGCCTCGCAATGGGATCCGTCTTCCAGTTTGTCTTGGTGAACTTCCTTGTCTCCCAGGCATTTGGACACTGCTTGTTTGACAACAAGCCGCTCTTGCAAAGCTGTGGTGCGGGCTGCATCGGTGTGCCAGGTGCCGGCAAGGAGACCTGCGTTTCGAATTGCCTCGTCGGGAAGGGCGTGCGCTGGTCATGCGCCACTTGCCTTGGCAGGGGCTTCAACTGCGGTTTCAACTCCTGCTTGAGCTCTTGCACAACCGGCTTCACGAAGCCTGTATGCACGACTTGCATCAGTTCCAACTGCGGTCTTTGCAGCAGCGCCCGCTCCATTGAAGACACCGCAGACAATGCCTCCACTCTCGAAGCGCTTGCGGAGCTCTTCGCCGGTGCAAGCAGCGCAGCGGCGAACTCGACTCAAGAGTTGGAGGCGGAGCCCTCTACTCGCAGCGGGTGCTTCGAAGTCCAGTCCTTGATGAAGACATGCGGCACCCAGTGCTACGCTGCCAGCAACCAAGCAAGCTGTGCTGCTACCTGCCTCGCTGGCAAGGGAGTCTCGGCAGGATGTGCGAACTGCTTCGGCAGGAAGATCAGCTGCACAATCAAAAACTGCATCTCGGGTTGCGCCGCGGATGCCAACGGTGCGGCTTGCACCTCCTGCGTCGCCAGCAAGTGCGGCTCATGCAATGCTGTCGCTCAGCCCACTTGGCAAGTTCTCCTGGTGCCCAGTAGCATGTTAATGACCCCCACCCCAAAGTTTGTGTTCCGAAGAACCCTGAACGGCTGAGGCCAAGTCCCTGGACGCAGACAAGGACAGCTTCGTTGCTGCTTTGGTTGCGTTGGCGGCTCAGGAAGGTCAGAACGCTCTCTTCCCTTGATCAGGTTCTTGCTTCCTGATATCCTTTCTGATATCAGAGTCCAAGTGTTGACTCTTTCCAGCATGCACGTTAATCCCTTTTGTTTTGGCCAGGCTGTCAGCACACACGTTGCGACACCGCATAGCATGGCCAGTAAAGACTTGCCAGACACTCCGCCCGGCCAAGAATTTCTTAGTGGATGCAGCTACCGCCACGCGATTTGAGAGAAACAGGGTCTCTGCCTGGACTGCCTAAACCTAAACCCAAACCCTATAAGCCCCTAGAGCTCGCTTCTCGACCCTTAACCCTTAACCCTAAGCCCTGAACCCTAAACCCAAAACCCTAAACTCATAATGTGCTCAGATGCTCGGACTCAGAGACAGCGGCCGAGTAAAACCCCAAACCCTAGCCCTTAAACCCTAAACCCCATGCTCAGATGCTTGGAGCACTGGGCCGATGGTCACCTACCACGGGACGAGGCTGGGCCACCCAGTAGGTTTTTGAGAGTTGTGTTAGGGTTTAGGGTTTAGGGTTTAGGGTTTAGGGTTTAGGGTTTAGGGTTTCGGGGTTGAGGATTGTGCATGGTCTTTTTTAGGGTTTGAGACTAAGAGGAGCCCTTGCGGCCATGCCAGCATCCTGCGGAGGGCACCCTGTGATCGGGTTCTCCTCAGCCCCAAGAGGGGAGCCTGCAAGCCCTACTCGGTAGGCCCTTGGGACATTTTGTCTTTTCCCCTTATAGGGCTTAAGAGGACTCAACTTAGGAAATATTTTTCAGAGGGCTTGAAGGGCCATCCTAGCCCATGACCCGAAACCCTAGAGTCTCCAGACTCAAAGCCTCAGAGCCTCACCTTGAAATCAGGAAGTCTTCGCACATGTCTGGCCCAAGCCTCAAGTAGCAAAGTGAACCGTTTCTAACGCAGCCTTTTATACACTATTTATATATACACATATATAAACACACACACATATATTTATATGTATATAAATCTGTAATTCATCCAATCCCGTATTGAGAGGACATATCGTACAGGCTACTGACAAGGGTGCAGTCCGGGTGTGGTCTACAAGAACCCCGAGCAGATGGCGCCCACACTGCGGAAAGGCGAGAATTCACTCGAGGTGCGACGGGGGGGGTTTAGGGTTTAGGGTTTAGGGTTTAGGGTTTAGGGTGTAGGGTTTAGGGTTTAGGGTTTAGGGGTACTTTTAGCCAAGTCCGCTCCCCAAAACCTTCCAAACCCTAAGCCCGAAGTCCAATGTAAAGGCATCCACAGACCCCTGAAAAGCCCAGAACTTTTAGGGCGAGAGGGGTTCGGAGAGTTCTATAGACCCTAAACCCTCAGAATTTTCTTCGGGATCATCCGATAAAATTGGAATGATACAGAGAAGATTAGCATGGCCCCTGCGCGAGGATGACACGCACAAATCGAGAAGTGTACCAAGTCGAAACCTTAAGCCCTAAACCCTGAAACCTAAACCCTAAACCCTAAACCCTAAACCCTAAACCCCAACTCTAAACCTCCTTGAGGATGCAGTGTTCGTGGAGGATGCAGATCCCATGGTCATCACGGTCTTGCGCGGCTTGACCCTCGAGCCTTCTTAGGATGCGCTTTTGAAGACGTGGATATTTCCCAAACAGGGGGTCCCCAATAAAGTACTTCATCGGTATTGTAGGAACCCCGAAGAAGGGTACCCCTATTTTCGGAAGCACCCATGTTTTTGGATGTCTGGGTCCACGAGCAGGGGTTAGGGCTTACGTTTAGTTGGGGCACACCCCGGCTGTAGCACGTACCTGCCAGTCAAAGCTTGGACAAAGCCCAACGTCTGAATCGAACAGGCAGCTGGCAAGAGCTTGGAGGTGTTGGGCTGTAGGGGCTGGAGGTTTACAAGGGGCTTTTCAGAGACCTGTGTTTAAGGCCCCCCAAATCTTGTAAGCGCCCGAACGTCCAAAGTTGCTGCTAATGTGTTCGTCAATTCTCGTGAGCCATGTGCTTTGAGAAGCTCGAAAAAAGCCTGGGCAGGAACTTCTAGATCTGCCCGGGCTTTTTGAACCCTGAACAAGGCTTTGGGGTTTAGGGTTTAGGGGTGTCAGGACGGGTGAGCCTCTTGCGACGCTGCAACTGGATGGCACCTTTTCCATCGAGAGGTTGGACACTCGCACTGCAGCTGTGCCACTTTGGTTTCTGTTTCGAGTTAACGAACGCCGCATCGATGGAGACATACCTCTGCACACACGCACGCATATGTACATACGCACGCGCACTCATACATACATACATATATACATAGATATATATGTGTGTGTACATAGATATGTGCATGCACGTTCCACCACCCAGAACCAACCTCGCCTGCTGCTATACGCCGATGCGCAAATAAAGGTGATCCCCGCACTTTTGCTGTTTGCTGTTTCTGTATACACAGCCACCCTCCAGTCCGCACGCACCCCAAGGCGCATGTGGCTCGCTTCTGTCTTCTGGAGACTTTGTTGTAAGGTGCTGCAGTTTGTACGGGTTGATATTTGTTTGTTTGTTCGTTTGTTTGTTTGTGGGCTCTGTGTGTGTTTTTTCATAAGTACGGTCTACGTACGTGCAGTATGAACTTGTGTAGTCCCAAAGATTAACCTTTAGTTCCCCTAGGACACTGGACAACTAGGCTCATCATGTGTTGCTGCCAGCCAGTAGACTCTAAGAGTAGTTTCATGGGCCCTTAATATGTGGTCCCTTACCCTCTTGAAAGGTCTGAAGTCTGGGCCCTTGGGTTTTGTAGGGTATATAAGGGGTAGATGAGGGGTCCCTTGAAGGGCCCAGACTCATGGACCGTGTAACTACCCCCGAGATAGACCTGCTAGGACCCGGAGTAGGCCCTTATTTCCTCGTTTTGGGGTTTGGGTTCCTGTATAGTGCCCTTAAAACCAAAAAGGGTACCCTTTTGATTCCTAGGTTACTCCTGGGTCTAGCCCTAAGCCCGAAGCCCGAAGCCCGAAGCCCGAAACCCTAAACCCTAAACCCTAAACCCTAAACCCTAAACCCTAAGCCCTAAACCCTAAACCCTAAACCCTAAACCCTGAACCCTAAACCCTAAACCCTAAAGAGCCAGGAGAGTGAGCTGGTTTCCGTGGCCCCACTGCCGAGTCAGTCCCGGTACAAGTTCGCCAGCGAGGCTGGCGAGATGCGCCTTGGCTTTGGGTTTAGGGTTTAGGGTTTAGGGTTTAGGGTTTAGGGTTTAGGGTTTAGGGTTTAGGGTTTAGGGTTTAGGGTTTAGGGTTTGCAGGCAAGCTGCCACAGGAGCCCTGAAGCAAAAAGGGTTTGCAAGGAGTACAGATGCAAGAAGGGTTTCGGGTTTAGGGTCCGTTTAGGGTTTAGGGTTTAGAGTCTGGAGATGAATCTGGCTGGTCCTCAAGCCCAGGGTGCAAAAGGGGTTTAGAGTTTACTCCTAGAGCTGGGTAGAAAGACTCGAAATGTCATCCCTTGTCTCATTATGTTTGGCTACTATTCAAAATCTCCACCAGCCCTAAATCCCACTCCCTCATTTAGGGTTTAGGGTTCAGGGCTTAGGCCCCTGTAAGTTGAAAGTAGTCAAAAAGTGAAAACGAAACTGGGTGCAAACTCCCCCAAACTCCCCGAAACTTTCCCCGGACCTGAACACCCTAAACTCTAAACCCTAAACCCTAAACCCTAAACCCTAAACCCTAAACCCTAAACCAAGTACCCGCCCGCGTTCAGTCCTGGGGCCCGAAGCTCAGGCTCCGTCCCGTGGTCCAGCTCCGGCAGCTGGGAGAAGGACGCGACTTGACCCTGCAACTGGGCCTCGAGTTTACTCCTGTTTGCCCAAGAACCCCCCCCCCCCCCCCCTCAAAAAAAAAAAAAAAACATAAACCCAAAAAATCTTCCCTGTCAGGGCAATAATGGGACTATTATTCTCAAATTTAGAGGGGTTTAGAGGGGTTTAGGGTTTAGAGGGATTTAGAGGGGTTTGGAGGGTTTAGATGGGTTTAGAGGGTTTAGAGGGTTTGGAGGGTTTAGAGGGTTTAGAGGGTTTAGAGGGTTTAGAGGGTTTAGAGGGTTTAGAGGGTTCAGGGTTTAGGACTCTATAACTGATTGCTTGCTACCTGGGTTTGCCTAAGCTGACAAGGGATTTCTTTCGAAGCTTCCCGACGACCAGGACCTGAACCCTAAACCCTGAGCTGCAAGCCCTAAACCCGAAGCCCTCAACCCTAAACCCTAAACCCTAAATTAAACCCTAAACCCTAAACCCTAAACCCTAAACCCTAAACCCTAAACCCTTTTGGTGGGGGTGGGGGGGAGGGGATAGCCACGTCCTCCGCGTTGCTGCACAAGTCAGTGGGGCTCCCCGGCACCTTAGGGAGCCCCAGGGTTCAAAAAGGGTTTAGGGTTTAGGGTTTAGGGTTTAGGGTTTAGGGTTAGGGTTTAGGGTTTAGGGTTTAGGGTTTAGGGTTTAGGGTTTAGGGTTTAGGGTTTAGGGTTTAGGGTTTAGGGTTTAGGGTTTAGGGTTTAGGGTTAGTCGCATGAAGCTTGGGCTGTCTTAATCAATGGCATGTAGGGTTTAGGGTTTAGGGTTTAGGGCTACCCTCATACTAACAGTCCTTCATAGGTATGAATGCAGCAAAGTAAGAAATTTGGTTTCCTCATTATAGAATGAAGCTGGGCTTATGGAAAGAAATCCGGTTTCCTAATGAGGGTGCTTCAACGTAGCTTCCTGCGCGTGAACCCAAGTTCCCCAACTTATCGGCTTCTTAAGGGAGGGGGGGTTCAAGGGGGCTACGTAACCCAAGGTTCCCTAATACCCCCTACTAGTCCCCAGGGCTCCCTGAGCTTCCCTAAGGTTCCCTAGGTATCTACCCCCCTTGAACCCCCCTCCCTTAAGAACCCCTAAATCCCTAAATCCCTAAACCCTAAATCCCTAAACCCTAAACCCTAAACCCTAAACCCTAAACCCAAAAGAGCCCCCAGGCAATCCTTCGTGGTTCCGAAGATCTGGGGCTTCGCGCAGGCCGAGAATTCTTTCAGCCGCAGCATCACCTTCCAGCCTTCGGAGTTGGACTCCGGCTGTATGGTGCGGGCTTCTTCGTGTGTTCACTAGGATGCCCAGTAGTGCCCTTATTCCCTTTTTTGGGGGTTTAGGTTCCCTTATAAACTTCTTTTAAGCAAAAACGGGCACCCTTTTTCAGCCTAGGTAACCTTTAGTGGCCTTTTATCAGGTAGTCTTATTCTGAAAGCTTTGGTACGGGCTTCTGAAAGTTCAGAGCTTCTTACCACAATCTGTGTTTGTGAAGTCAGGCTTTCTGCAGTGAGGACGCGAGAGGTGGCATGGCCATAAGTGCAGAGGCCATCCCCTGGCGATCGGGTCGCGCTGCCTTTGCCGTGGAGATGCTGGGTTTAGGGTTTAGGGTTTAGGGTTTAGGGTTTAGGGTTTAGGGTTTAGGGTTTAGGGTTTAGGGTTTCCCTAAACCCTTAAACCCTTAAACCTTTAAACCCCTAAACCCTTAAACCCTGAACCCGAAACCCGAACCCCCCCCCCAATTTTTCCTTAAGCTGGCCTCGTTTAACCGGACTCCATCCTGTAACCCTAAACCCTAAACCCTAAACCCTAAACCCTAAACCCCTAAGCCCTAAACCCTACACCGGAATCTCGGCCAACCCAGGATCTTGGGCATGGGAACTCGGGGGCATGAGGGCTTGGAGATCGGCATCACCCACCGCGCGCCAGAGACGTTCAGGGCGCATCCAGGCAGGGGCTTCCGGGGGTTTAGGGTTTGGGGTTTAGGGTTTAGGGTTTCGGGTTAGGGTTAAGTTTAGGGTTTAGGGTTTGAGGGGCTTCTAGGGTTGGGGTTGAGGGCCCATCAAGGCTACGCAGTGCTGTCGCAGCCATCGTGGGTGAGCAGCGACGCAGGCTGTTTATGGCAGAACGGCAGCAAGCACTACGACCCTTTGTGGTGCTTTAGGGTTTAGGATTTAGGTTTAGGGTTTAGGGTTTAGGGGTCTAGGGTTTTGGGGTTTAGGGGTTTTAGCTGTGCAGACCTGGTTGTAAAAGGGGTTTTAGGTGTTTAGGGGTTTTGAGGGCGGTTTCGTAATCGGCAGCTCAAAACTGTAGTTTATAACTACCCTCCTAAGTGCAGCCAAGGACCTTCCCGGCTGGGCCACCACGACGCCCTTTCGCCTCACAGCAGGTGACGTGGTGCACTTCTCTCTGATGGCCAATGGCGACATCGAAGTCCATGTGAATGGCAGGATTCAGGCGGAGTGGCCCCGTACGGCGCACGGCGCCCCGGAGTACCCAAAACCCGTCTATGCCCTGGTCGGGCTCCGGGCTCCTCTCACCGGAGTTGCCTTGAAGCTCACGGACGAGGCGCCTGCCGAGTTCAGACCTGAGGAGCTCGCGGCCGACGACAAGTAAGCTTGCAGCCCGCTTTGCCGCGCGAGCGCGCGCGCGCCCCTGAAGCCCCCAAGAGCTTCGGAACAGGCTGCCCTTTTTCATCGAAGTTGTGGGTCCCTTCTTAGAGATGCCCCACATCATGTTAGGGTGCCCCCCCCCCCCCCCCACCCCCCCCAAAGAGAAAGGACCATAGTTTAGGGAGCCCTCAACCCTAAACCCTAAACCCAAAACCCAAAAGGGACCACAATTCAGGGAGCTGCCCACAGTGAAACCCCCGAATCAAGGAAGACATACACCCTAAACCCTGAACCCTAAACGCACACATGTGTGCACGTACACACACACATAGAGCTAAAACACCTACATGTGTATTCTATATATATATATGTGTGTGTATATCTATATCTATATATATATATATGTATGTATGTATGTATGTATGTATGTATGTATGTATGTATGTATGTATGTATGTATGTATGTATGTATGTATGTATGTATGTATGTATGTATGTATGTATGTGCTTGTCTGAGTTCGTCGAGTAAACCTCTTTATATGACTTAAGGTGAATGGGTGTTGGGTTGTCTGGGGCTTCGAGGCTTCCAGGGTTTCGGGCTTCAGGCCTCAGGGTCAAAGCCCCGTGCTGCAGGTTTAGGGTCTAGGGTTTAGGGTTTAGGGTTTAGGGTTTGGGGTTTAGGGTTTAGGGTGGGGTTTGGGGTTTGCTTGACTGGCTTGATCTGCAGATGCTCCAAAATTTCCCATGCCTTCCTACGGGCCTGTTTTTGTTACAGGCTCATCAGAACTGGCTGCAAACATGGCATCGTAGTTCTCTCAGAAGTTGTCCCGGGTGTCTGACCATTCACAGCAGCTCAGCCGTGACGGAGCAGACCCGAGTCTGGCCAGTGTGCAGAGTCCAAATGCGAAAAAGGGTTCAGGGTTTAGGGTTTAGGGTTTAGGGTTTAGGGTTCAGGGTTCAGGGTTTAGGGTGTAGGGTTTAGGGGTTTAGGGTAGGCTTTTGCTTCTCCTTTTGCTGTTCCCTTTCGGCTTTCTACGGCAGTGCCTGACTTGGCGCGGGGTTGAGGGTCTGGGGTTCGGGGTTCGGGGCCAACCCCGTTTGAAGCGCAATAGCCAGCATCGCTTCATTGACAACCCTGCATGATCTGTCTGACCCTAAACCCTAAAAACTAAACCCTAAGCCCTAAACCCTAAAACCCTAAACCAGAGTGCGGGCGGGCACTCGGGACTCACGGTCCGCATGAAGGTTCCAATATGGGGCTTGACGATATTCGGGGTACCTTGTTGGGGTCCTTTTTATATCTTTTTATACGGGGATCCTACCATTTGGGGGTCTATATTAGGGGTCCCCGTATTTTCGTAAACCCCTCAAATAACTCGGAACCCTCTTTCCCTGAACCCTACACCCTACACCCTACACCCTAAACCCCAAACCCTAAACCCTAAACCCTAAACCCCAAACCCCAAACCCTAAACCCTAAACCCTAAACCCTAAACCTGCAGAGTGTCCGAGAGGTCAGCTAACCGGGTGGCAAAAAAAAAAACCCTAAACCCTAAACCCTAAACCCCAAGAGGTGGCCGAAGTTGCCCTGGATCCTCAAACAGCGGCACCTGCGCGCCGGGCCTCGGGAGGCTGGCGGCAACCGAGGCGCTTCTTTGGGGAGACGCTTGGGGCACTGCACTTCCCTGTTTTCGGAGGTTTGGGGTTTAGGGGTTTAGGGGTTTGGGGTTTAGGGGTTTAGGGGTTTAGGGTTTAGGGTTTAGGGTTTAGGGTTTAGGGTTTAGGGCGAGAGCCCTCCGAATCACAGGAAGTGCCCACGGTTTAGTTCGCCCATCCCGAAGTGAGCAGCTCGCAATGTCACTGCTGTGCACCCCGCAAATGGCCCAAAGAACGCGAAGCCACTGGGCCATGATGGTGTGCTGCCGAATGAAGTTTGCCCTGCACTTCTTCCTTCTGTGCCAGCTCGTGGGCTTAGCTGCGAAGGCTTTCGGAGTGAGTTGTGCGAAGATGCAATGAGCCTTTGTGCGCATGTTTCGCACTGGCGCCCGATATTCGCTCTTCGGAGATGGTGCTACAGAAGCCCTAAGCCCGAAAACCTAATTATTCCCCCCCTCTCCCCCCCCCCGGAACATGGGCCCGTTTTGGGTCCTCCGAATTCTGCTTGGGCTGCAGGTGTGTGGAGTTCACCGAGTTTCAAAGTGGCCGCTTCCTGGCTCAGGGATTTAAAGGGAGGTTTAGGGCCTAGTGAGGGTTTTCAGCAGCCCGGGGTTAAAAAGGGTTTAGGGTTTAGGGTTTGGGGTTTAGGGTTTAGGGCTTAGGGTTTGGGGTTTAGGGGTCTGATGGTTTGAGGGTGGATCAGAGGTTGGGATTTGTGGATGACATTTTGTTTTCTCGGCACCGTGTAGGTCTGAGCGCGGACATTCAACTTTCAACCCACAGCCTCACAAAAGCTTCCATGGTGGCCCGTGTCCAATAGAGGGCTACACCCTGAAAACGAAGAAAAGCACCCAAAAACCTGACCCCAAGCCCCCTCATGAAAACACCAAGCTGCTTAAACCCTAACCCTAAAACAAAAACCCTAACCCTGAACCCTGAACCCTGAACCCTGAACCCAAACCCTAAACCCCCCTAAGTCTTGACCATCGCCCGTTACAGTAATGTCCTGCCCCCTCCGCCCCGTCCCCCCCACAAAAAGAAGGACGAAAAGAGGCAAAAAGGCAAGGGTTCGCCTTCATATGCAAAGCCCCAGACAAACCCCGCCCCTAAAAGCAAGCTCCCCTGAAACCACCCAAAGCTCTCTAAACCCCAACCCCTAAACCCTAAACCCTAAACCCTAAACCCTAAACCCTAAACCCTAAACCCTAAAGTGCTTGAGGAAACCTACGCCTGGCCGGAGCCGCTGGCCGGCGCCGCCCACGAGCCCTGGAATCCCTGGGAGTACGAGGTGAGTCAGGACCTGTTTAGGGTTTAGGGTTTAGGGTTTAGGGTTCGTGCTTAGGGTTTGGGGCCAGGATTTGGGGTTTAGGGTTCAGGGTTTAGAGTTCAGGGTTCAGGGTTAAGTGTTCAGGCTTTAGGGTTTAGGGTTCAGGCGTAGGGTTTAGGGTTCAGGGTTCAGGGCTGAGGTGGGGCTTGGGGGAAGCCAGCAAATGCGCCGCCTCCCCGCGATCCATGGACCACAAGGGGTTTAGGGTTTTCGGGGTTCGGACTTCAGACCGTCCGATCTGTTCGAGCACATTGAGATAACCTTGCGTCCTGATACTGGTTCTGGAGGGACCCCTGGAAGCGACCCTTAATCTTACTCCTTGTATAGTCTCTATGTCACAAGTAGCCCCTACACCCCGCAGGTCCCTTATCAGGGTCCCTCCTTTAGTCCCTTTAGTCCTAAACCCTAAACCCTAAACCCTAAACCCTAAACCCTAAACCCTAAACCCTAAACCCTAAACCCTTGGGCTTGCGGTGCCGTGCCATGTCTCACGCTGGCGCCCGACGTTCGCTCTTCGGAGATGGTGCTGCAGAAACCCTAAACCCTGCGCTCGGTGGCGGGTGCGGGCTGATGTTCGTTCCACCAAGCCAAGTCGCCATGCCGGAAGTTCCACTATAAGCAACGACGGAGGGCCCAAAGCAGCCGCCGGCGAGAAAGAAGATCGCCAGAACCAGTGATCCTACGCTGCCCAGGAGAACCAAGACGACTTGCGGCGCACGGCCATGACGCTGCGAATGTTCGCAGGGGCTGAATGCAAGCAGGAGTTGGGGGACGAGCCGGCGTAGAGATGGACAGTACCAGGAGGGACTCTGGCAGAATACCCGCCCTACGTACACCCCTACATTTCCGAAGCCCTAGGCTCTAAACTCTGAATTTCCCAAACCCTAAACCTCCCGGAAACTGGGCCGGCCGATCAGGAGACAGGACCAGGCATGGTGTTGTTTAGAGCGTTTTGGGTCATAGCCAAGCGCAACCCTCAACCCTAAACCCTAAGCCCTCAGCCAAACCCTAAACCCTAAGCCCTAAACCCTAAACCCTAGCCCTCAACCCTAAGCCCTAAACCTCGCCAGCAGGACCCCAATGCCTCCCCCCCGGAGCGCTTCCAAGTTGTCACTTGGCTCCGGCGAAGAGCGCACTTTCAGGAACCGCTTGGGGGTTTCGAGGCTTAGGAATTTTGGGCTTAGGGGTTTTGGGGTTTGGGGATTTAGAGTGTCCCAGTGTCTTCGTTGGTGTGACTTGCCCGGCAGTGTTCGAAGAGGCCTGGATGCAAAAGGGATTTAGAGTTTATGGTTTAGAGGTTTTTGGGTTGTTTAGGGTTGAGGGTTGGGTTGAGGGGGTTTAGAGCCCTGGTCTAGGACGGAGGGGAAGACCTCAGCTTTTAGTGGGCGCAGCGTTTTCGCCTTAGAAGCGCCATCGCTTCGGTTGCCTGACGGGGCTGGATTCTCAAGGGAGCCATACTCGAACACGTAAGAGGTTCCCTTAATATACTCCAAAAATATACCCCTTTTATTCCGCTCGAGAATCTTTACAAAGGGTCCCTACCACCCAAGGGTACAACCTTAATAGAGTCCCATGAGATTCCTTCCTGATCGCAGACCCAGGTGAAGCTTGACCGGTTCACTCAAACGCCACCTTGCAATAAAGTATCGGCTCTCTCCGCGAAACCCCCAAACCCAAAAGGTTTAGGGAATAGGGTTTAGGGTTGAGGGTTTAGGGTTTAGGGTTTAGGAGCAGAAGCCCTGAGCCCAAACAGAAATCTTGGCGCCTTGTGCCGGCTTTCAGGATAGACCTTGCAAGAGGATAAGCTTGCTGGTTCTTGGTAGGGAAGGAGGTAGCCCTTATGTAGTCCCTAAACCCTGAACCCTAAACCCTAAACCCTAAACCCTTAAAACCCCTAAAACCCCTAAAACCCCTAAAGCCCCTAAAACCCCTAAAGCCCCTAAAACCCCTAAAATAACGGGCATCTATAGGGGGGCCTGCAGCATGGTGCCAAGCAAGGTCCTGGAGCTGGAGATCCAGGA